TGAGGAGAAAGCCGAGAGTTTGGCCGAATACAAGGATGAGTTGGACCAAACCAAGATCGTGGTGGGCAAGCTACGGCAGGAGGTAAGTTACTTGGTTTTGTCTTATTGGCCGCATATCCTGTGCAGCAGCTTCACATAGACCTGTCTGTGGATGAAAAAGTCATAAACACTGATTGATGCAAAGTGGTGGCTCATGGCTTATTTTTATTGTCTTTGGTTCACACCTCAAGGACCCAAGTTTGATCCTGGGGTAGGCGAGCCATTGTACTTAATTCCTTACACCTGCTGTCCCTGTTCATACGCAACTGTTAGTCGACTATTTCGGGTAGTTTCCTGTGGATTGGAGTGTGTCTTAGACTGTAAATTCAACAGTAAAAAAAAGTGAGAAACCACTTTGACAGAAATATGAAACACAGGCAAGAGAGATGATTATATTTAGAGAGGAGCTTCCTCTGATGAAACCAACATGGATTTAGAGATTTAGGATCTTATCAGACAAACCTACTGGAGTTCTATGATGGAGTTACCAAAATAAACCAAATCAAATAGATGCGCTGACTGCATCTTCCTGAATTGTAAGAAAGCACTTGGCACAGTGTATTACGAACACAGGTAAGAATGGCCTGGACCTGGTCATAATGGGTTTAGAGCAAAACAAAATCAGCAGTAATAATTAACTTGTATTTCCGTCACCAAATATACAGGTATATATAATTATGTACACTTATGTACCTTATGTACAGGAGTTGAATATAAGTGTACCACACAGAGATAAAAGGCAAAGACAGAAGCCAGAGAGAGAGCACTGTGCTTCAATCAGCTAGAGGCAAGTCTGGCAAATGCTGACTGCGAGTGAACCACGTCACCTCAGCATTTGGCAGGGTCACCTATGATTGGTCAGTGAACCAAGGTACTGATTTAATGACAGGTACCCTAAAAAATTGTTGAACCCTGAGCACCTGGTTTGCTGGTTGGGAGGCAGCCTATATGGGAGTGTGCACATATGCCGACTAAGGTGTAACATACTCTTTCCATGCCACACAGTGCCGTACCAGAAGAGTAAGCATAAGTGAAAGGGAAAGTTCTGTAGTGAATCAATAAGCACCTAGAAGACAGGGGATATATGGAAGGAAATGCTAATTTGGTTGAGGGGTAACAATAGTTGTTTGCCTAGGATCATTGTAAGAATCACTATAGTATACTGTACTCTTGATACATTAGACCCCCTCATGTTACGTAACCATAATTTGTACAATTGTATTATATTGCATAAATTCTCTATAATATTTTCTTGCACATATATAAGTGCACATATTTTTATTTTTTATAGACAGGAATCTAAATACTACTGTACTTGCTTATTTTCAAACAGAATGTCGAGTTGGTACAAGATGCACGTGCAGCAAGAGCATGGAGGGATGAAGCTGACATCTTGCGGGAGCGAGCCAGCCGTGTTGACGCCCTTGAGCAGGAGGTGGCTCGATATCGAGACAAGATGGCTGACATAGAATTTTACAAGACACGAGTTGAGGAGCTACGTGAAGACAATAGGTGGAGTCAGAAATTTATTTTATTGAAATCAAGGACTGAAATGGGTCTTAAATATGATGCTTGAAGTTACACACAAAATTTTGACTTAACAACTGTGTTTGTACATTTTAGGATCCTGGTGGAGACCAAAGAGATGCTGGAGGAGCAATTAGCTTCCTCGCGACGGAGAGCAGAACAAGTGCTGGACCTAGAAAACAACATTCTTCAACTAAAGCAAACCATAAATCAGATTACTATTGTTAGTACAACATATTATTTTAAACATATATAACTTATGGTTCAAGTTATCTAAAAAACTTTTTATAATACAGTATTCTACACAATTTTTAAATATTAGAGATGTATGGGAAAGTCATATTATTGTACTCTTGCTGCCCATGTTCACCTAGTAGAATATACTGTAGGTACTGTTTACCAGGGTGCTAGTTGACTCTTGTGGTTTACACCTGCATAAAGAGGCTGGAAGGGCCCCAGTAGAAATAAACCAGAGTTTTAGTTTTCTTGTGTTACTAATCCTCCAAGCTAAATCCAGAGAAATTATCCTTACATGTCAGAATCTGACGTGCTGCTCAACATATATATTATTGCATAGTAGTATATTAAATATATTAAATGTTTCCTTAACTTGTTCATACTTGCTTCAGTTACCCATGGAGGTGTAGCACCTTATTACTATAGGGAAAAAGGGCTCCCCCTTTTTTTTTTTTTTAATTTTTTTTCCTGCTCTCACAGCATACCATCACTATGACCAGCTTCATTTTCTCAGACTCCATACTGGAGTACAATACTAACAAGAAAGGGCTAGGGGTGCCATGATGTGAGAAGGGCTTATGATCAAAAGAATTGGAACTATTCTTCCTTTCTTTAGATCAAACCTGATTACCTCTTTGTTTTTAGTATTTCTCTGAATATAAAAAATAGGGTACTGTGCTCCAATTTAATTATAGGATTTTTATTGTATAGTTTCCCCCTTTAGCCTGTAATTGTTTTACATGATGGTAGGATTGCTGGTGTCTTTTTTCTCTCTCATAAACACGTAAGATTTCAGGTACGTCTTGCTACTTCTACTTACACTTAGGTCACACTACACATGCATGTAGAAGCATATATATATACACACCCCTCTGGGTTTTCTCCTATTTTCTTACTAGTTCTTGTTCTTGTTTATTTTCTCTTATCTCCATGGGGAAGTGGAACAAACTTCTTCCTCCGTAAGCCATGTTAGTTAGTGTATTGTAAGAGGTGACTAAAATGCCGGGAGCAAGGGGCTAGTAACTCCTTCTGTACACATTACTAAAGTTAAAAGAGAAACTTTTGTTTTTCTTTTTGGATTACCCTGCTTTGGTGGGATATGGCCGGTTTGTTGAAAGAAAGAAAAGAAAATTATCAGCAATCGTAACTGCAGATGAACGTTCTTATGTACTGTAATTAATTTGTTCAAAGTGCCAGTGTAAGTGCAAAGCATAATTAGCTTGAACATTGTCAGTATAGTCCCTGCTCTATGTCTAAGAAATAGAAGAATAAGTTAAGAAAATCCATATTTTAAAATTTAATTATTGTTGATGAATTATTTTCCAGGAACGTGATTCTGATAGGGAAAGATTACAGGAAGTTATGGAGGAAAATGCTCAGTTGCAGCTCAGCACCAAAAACTCTCTCAGTGAATCCGCCACCCTTGTTGCTCAGCTGGATAACCTTAAGTCCCAGCAACCTTTGAATGGCTCTAGCGTAGGCAGTGATCTCATCGGTGATGCTCAGGCCAGAGTTCTCAAACTACAGCTTGAAAACCAAAGACTTGAAGCTGAAAATGAGCAGTTAAAGCATGGCTCTCTTCTTGCTTCAACAGACAAGCTGTTAGAACTAGAACTGGAGAATAAAAGACTTTCTCACAAGGTTAGTCTTTTGTTACATAAAGCGGATTAAGTGGTGATAGTAATTTATTTTTGGTATCTTAATGCTAAGACATTTTGCCAACCAGTGGCTTCATCATTAGAATCCATGACCTGCTTCCACTAGTGGCTCCTCCCACCTGTGATGCCATCTTCACCTCTCCACTCTTCAGTATATACATGTAAGTCCATTCAATGGCATCATCTTTGGATTCAAGACACCTCCTTTCAAGGCTGAGGGACTGATAACCTCAAACTATATGTACTACTTGCACATATGTTGTATACATCTAATTTGTTCTTTTTTGATAGTTTCAATGCAAAATATTTTATTCTTACAATACTGTTATGTCAAATCATGCTTTAATTTTGAGATTGCTCCTACATCAGATTTCTAGTTTAATTATATTCAGCATTCATATTATCAGAAAGGGTGATCTTAATTTAACTATATACTATTAAGACATTCAACAGCTTTATCAGGCTCCATACTGGAACCTTGACATAATGATCACAGATTTGTTCTTCTCATCAATGTCTGTATATCAAGGTAGTAATTATTTTGAGACATTTAAGTTAGTGCAGCTACTGTGGAATGCCAGACAACTTACAGTACTGTAATTGAGATTGTACAATATTTTATAGTAATTTTTTATGATTATAGGTAATCCAGTTACAAGAGACTAGTCAAAAGGAGCGAACACACTTATTACAATCACAGGAAGAATCTGAGAAGCGACATCAAGAAACTCAGCGCTTGCATCAGACTCTGAATACTGTCAAGACTAACTCTCAGCGACAAATTGATGAACTTCAGGTGGGTAAAAAGGAAAGCATTGCATAAAAAAAACACATGCATTACACTCTGAGATGACATGGGATGGAAGAAGCTTTTTATTTGATTACCATATGTAAGAGATGCAGTAGTACTCTTTCTCAGTAAATATTGATTATAAATGTTATAAATTTGTATACATCTGTATACAAATTGGAGATAAATGGTATAAAATATCGAAATGATGGAAAAATAAACACAAATGAAGTACAGTGGACCCCCAGTTAACGATATTTTTTCATTCCAGAAGTATGTTCAGGTGCCAGTACTGACTGAATTTGTTCTCATAAGGAATATTGTGAAGTAGATTAGTCCATTTCAGACCCCCAAACATACACGTACAAACGCACTTACATAAATATACTTACATAATTGGTCGCATTGGGAGGTGATCGTAGCGGGGGTCCACTGTATAATGCAATCCTTTACTGACAAAGTTTCACCCACACAGTGGACTTTATCAAGTCACAACCAGATCTCCTTGGGTGAATAGTACATGAGTATTTATAGGGTGGAGAGTCAGGTGGAGAATCCTGGGTAGGTTAGATTTGAGATGGACTTGCAGTCCCGTACAAGCCATCTTAAATCTAACCTACCCAGCATTCTCCACCTGACTTTCCACCCTATAAATACTCATGTACTATTCACCCAGGTAGATCTATTTGTGACTTGATAAAGCCCACTGTGTGGGTGAAATGTTGTCAATGAAGGATTGCATTATACAGCCTCTCCTCACTTAACAACGGAGTTCCGTTCCTAAGACATTCTTAAGACCATGTTGGTAAACAAATTCGTTGCTAAGCAAGGAGCGTACTATAATTGTAGTGGGTTTGTGTCAGCCATCTTTGATATTGTTTTAATGTCACCTTTGAACCATTTGTAACATTTTTTGTATATTTTTAAATGCTTATACAGTAGTGTACTGTAGTGTTCTGGTACTGAAGTCGATGGTTGTACTGGAATGTACATAAATTCTGCAATGGATTTCTGTCCTATTTTACCCTGCAGTACATTATACAACTGACGGTAAGACATCAGCTGCTCTAGACACCGTTTCAGGTCCTCTTCAGTGAAAGTCAAACTTTAAGTCATTCAGTAAGTCAGTTAAGTCAGTCAGTCAGTCAGTCAGTCAATTAAGTCAGTAAGTCAATCATGTCAGTAAGTCATTTAGTCAAATCAGTAAATCAGTCAGTCAGTCAAGTCAGTAAGTCATTCAGTAAGTCAGATGCTGTGCCCAGCATCTCTTCTCCATCATCAGCCTCTCCCAGCATCTTTTCACCACCATCAACATTTCTTCTCCGAGGTAAATGCTGTAGTGTGTACTACATAATTTCTTTACATTGTTTTCCTTATGAAGCTGTGTAGTGATCTAATGCAGTTTGCCTCACAAACACTCCATTTTCTGGTATAATAAGAGCATGGGAAGGTATGTAGTCAGGAGCAGGAATGGTTGCTGTGGTGGCCACCACCACTAGCCACATACATAATGACATAGTATTTTATTCATTCTAGTGTATATATCATGTTTCTATGTTATTAATATTGTTTATTATGTCATATTAGATGAATTGTGATAGTTAAATAAGCCATAGAGGTGATATTAGCGAAATATTGAAGTATTTTGTTGTGCCTGGAATTCCTCTGGAACGGATTAATGCCATTTCAATTAATTTAAATGAGGATAATTGACTCAACATACGAGCAAATCGGGATACGAGCAAGGTCACGGAATGGATTAAACTCATAAGCCGAGGTTCCACTGTACATTATTTAGGTATGCATACTGGTCAGAAAGCCCGTCATAAATCCGTGTCATTGGTAAACGAGTATGTGGCTAAGCGAGGAGAGTCTGTACTGCATTTCTGTTTATTTTCCATACAAATATTTCTGGTGTTTTGAAGGATATAGTGCAGTGCCAGATCTTCATTGATTATTTTGGATAATTAAGTTCCCTTATTTTTCTATATGTCAAGAATTTTCTTTTCATCATTTATTTACTTTAGTTTCATGTTTTACATCATTGCCTATTGTTCCTTTTTATACATTTTTATCAAATGTATGTACGTACTTAATATTAAAATTATAATAAATCTAAATTTTTTTCTCAAGTTTTCAAAGGTATGAAACATTGTACAGTTAAGAAATCTTTGGATAAATACAGCCTTATCATGGGACAAACACATACGTACATTTGAACTTAAGATACTAAATGGGCACACAAGTTAAAAAAAATTTATTATAAATTTAAGTGTACATGATAATGTTCATTCTAGATAATATTAATCTTTTACACAAAAAATGGACAATAACAAGTTTATTTCAGAAGTTAGATAGTCTTAAAGTATTCCATATGTTATAGTGTATTTACCACCAATGCAAGTTAAAAACATAGCATTGATTTTCATTTATAAGGCTGTATGTATGATGTCAGTTTAATTTAGAGTACAGTATTGTATTATGGCTATTTCTTGGAGTATGGATTTATCTATTGGCAGTTTTTGATAAAGTAATTGTGAATGTTTGTTTTTTGGATAAAATCTATTTTATTCATTTGGGGAGACAGCAGGTGCAATGCAATTATTTTTTGAGTCTCAAGTCTTTTATTAATGGTATACTGTGATTCTGTTTTAACAGCAAGAAAATACACAGCTTCTAGAACTGATAGAAAGTCTGCGAGAGAGACAAAAGAAGACAACAGATGCAAGACTGCTGGATGTTGAGACAGAAAACAAGAAACTTACAGATGTTAATCTTCAGTTTCAGAGCCAGGTAGATATGTATTTTTTGTTTTGTTTTATTTAGTGTTAGTTACTGTTTAGTAACTGAATTAATTAGCACAGCATTCTTGGGATTAATCTTGTTATCAACACATTTTCAGTGTCAAATTCAAGTACAGTAATACAGGCAACCCCCCATTTAAAAAATTTGCTTGGCCTCAAGAAACCATTGCCTTTAACTAGATAACAGTCAGTGAGGGTAATTATATTACATCAAAGGCTATTAAACATTATGGTATACAAAAAAAAGACATTTTTGGTAGAAGATTATTGATTTTTCATTTGTAACAAATGGTAGAGAAGTTGATTAACATTCATCAAGTAGTTATGTTTTTCCCAAAAAATTTGACCTTGGAATGTTCAGTAAGGCATAAGGTCTGGAATGATCTCTGAAATTATCCATTATAAGCATTGCATTGTAAACAGTATTCCTGGCACAGAGTATTTTATCAGCAGGGCAGAAATATATAGTAAACCAGTTTTCAGACATGCTTTGTTAATTAAGCTTTCTTGTTTGAGCACCATATTTTACTTAAATGCTTATCTTAGCGAGTCTTCATAGCCCTTTGGCATTTCTGAATTTTATATTAACATGGACTCAAGCTTAAAATATCCAGCTATGTTGCTGCTCACCGGAAGTGTGAAACACTTTTGTCATCTTGTATAATATAGAAATCTGTTCATAAACATTACAGGCATAAGTGTAGTACATGGGTGTGTATAAAATATTTTTTTTTACAAATGTCATGTTTATTCTCAGTGTTTTGGGCAAGACTTCAGCTAATAAAAGAAATCAGTAAAAGGTATTCAAATATACACAAGACAAAAAAAAGAGCAACTGACTGAATGAGCAAGAAGAAAAATCAGAATAACTTTTGTTTTCACTGAATAAGAAATTTTTTTCTGGGATTTTCTTCAAGAGGAGCTTAGTTTCATCAGCAGTGAACATTTGTTAAGTTGTGGAGCTACCTTTATTATTTTTTAAAGTCGAATCTTCTGAATTTCAACTACCACTTATTTACTAGCACTTGCCAGGTTGCAAGTGCTGATAAACAAAGGCATGCATAATAAATTGATGGAAATGCATATTTCAGTATCTGAGTTTATAGTGTTATTTACGTTTCTTGATTTAAATTCAAGTAGCCTGTTAGCCACCCTCCACAGCATTGAAATATTCCACTGTTTAACTCATGTCTTATTTTCTCCTTTGTTCTTAGAACAGTCTTAATTCCTTCTTCACGCTTATTCTCACACTGATATGATGTGTTGATTTTGATATTTGATCCACAGACTACAAGATCTCTCCATGTTGTACTTCATAAAATACCCATTTTGATTCCAAAGTAATGATCTTCCACATCACCTTTGGACCAGTACATGGCCTAACCACTCAATGGCTATTTGGTACTCATTTTAGATGGAGTCTGAAGTGGAAGATTAATCTGAGCTGAACTTTCTTAGGATACCACACACTACACAAGAGCAATAACAATATGTTTCACCATAACAATGCAAGGGATAAGAGTCTAGCAGTAAATATACCATCTAGATTCACAGGCTAGCCTGTGAGACTAGGACTTGATGTCAGTATCAACTTCAGCCTAACCTTTCCTTAGTTATGGCACACTGGGCACTCAGCCTCCCCAGTCTCCTCCAGGTGACTGGCAATGAAGCACTTAACAAAGGTAGTGCATATTTGTTGTGCAGGTATTTCTTTAATTCAGTACTCAAGATTACCATGGGGCATTGGTGGAAGGGAGATGCATTTAGTGGGTGTAGCCAATATTGCCTATTAGTGTGCTGAATATAAAAATCCACAGTAGTTCATAATCCTTATAGAAATGTCATCTTGTTTTAAGTTCCTGGTACTAATTTATATATATTCCAGGTTTCAAGACTGGAATATGAGAAGCAACAACTGAATAGATTGACAGAGCGTTTGAGAGAATCTGCAGACAGACTTTCAGAGGCTGAACATCAAAAGGCAGAGCTGGAGCGAGAAAATCGGGACCTTCATAAGGTAATTAACTTGATAAAGACTGTACTATATTGAAACTAACAATATTTCTCTAAATTAATTACTATCCCGGTTATCAAATGTTCTTTAATTGAAATTGAACAAGGATTATTGTTAACCATTATTAAAATAAAATATAATTTGTATTGTTAAAAGTAAGCACACAAGAACCTTGTTGTCATTGTATACCATTTATAATATGGGCACCTGAAATTATTCTAATGAATCACACCAAGGATAATACTCAGGACATTACCCAGAACAAACATTAAAAAAGTGAACAGTGCAGAGCTACAAATTCTTAGATTTTTTCAAATTGATGTTACTAGATTAAAAAAAAAAAGTAAAATATTTAACCTCATCTCCTGACATAATTACTGTTCTAAAACAGTACTGTACTTCTAACTCTCATAATACATGAAGCAATTATTTTATTTTTCAGCTGCATTTGATTTGAGTAAGATATTATTTACCTTAAACTTGAATGATAAATTATAAAATTATGGTTAATATGTAATATTAATAATATGTCGCCGTGGTTGTGTAATATATTTATAGATGGGGTTGTAAGAGAAGTAAATGCGAGGGTCTTGACAAGAGGCGTGGAGTTAAAAGATAAGGAATCACACATAAAGTGGGAGTTGTCACAGTTGCTCTTTGCTGATGACACTGTGCTCTTGGGAGATTCTGAAGAGAAGTTGCAGAGATTGGTGGATGAATTTGGTAGGGTGTGCAAAAGAAGAAAATTAAAAGTGAATACAGGAAAGAGTAAGGTTATGAGGATAACAAAAATATTAGGTGATGAAAGATTGGATATCAGATTGGAGGGAGGGAGTATGGAGGAAGTGAATGTATTCAGATATTTGGGAGTGGACGTGTCAGCGGATGGGTCTATGAAGGATGAGGTGAATCATAGAATTGATGAGGGGAAAAGGGTGAGTGGTGCACTTAGGAGTCTGTGGAGACTTTGGAGGCAAAGAGGGGAATGTATGAGAGTATAGTTTTACCAACACTTTTATATGGGTGTGAAGCATGGGTGATGAATGTTGCAGCGAGGAGAAAGCTGGAGGCAGTGGAGATGTCATGTCTGAGGGCAATGTGTGGTGTGAATATAATGCAGAGAATTCGTAGTTTGGAAGTTAGGAGGAGGTGCGGGATTACCAAAACTGTTGTCCAGAGGGCTGAGGAAGGGTTGTTGAGGTGGTTCGGACATGTAGAAAGAATGGAGCGAAACAGAATGACTTCAAGAGTGTATCAGTCTGTAGTGGAAGGAAGGCGGGGTAGGGGTCGGCCTAGGAAAGGTTGGAGGGAGGGGATAAAGGAGGTTTTGTGTGCGAGGGGCTTGGACTTCCAGCAGGCGTGCGTGAGCGTGTTTGATAGGAGTGAATGGAGACGAATGATTTTTAATACTTGACGTGCTGTTGGAGTGTGAGCAAAGTAACATTTATGAAGGGGTTCAGGGAAACCGGCAGGCCGGACTTGAGTCCTGGAGATGGGAAGTACAGTGCCTGCACTCTGAAGGAGGGGTGTTAATGTTGCGGTTTAAACTGTAGTGTAAAGCACCCTTCTGGCAAGACAGTGATGGAGTGAATGATGGTGAAAGTTTTTCTTTTTCGGGCCACCCTGCCTTGGTGGGAATCGGCCAGTGTGATAATAAAAAAATAAATATGTAATATGTATGGTTAAGGTTCTTTTTCTTCAAAATTTAGGGTCAAGATGAAAATGTGTTTCATACATAATTGTGAAAGTTATTTGGAAAAGAATTGAAAAATAGAACTGATAACTTTAAACCATTAATTCATTCATAATAAAAGTTTATGTGCAGAACATCGTAAGAGCAATGTATACAGTGTGAAATTTTCAGTATAATCTTTCATTGACTAAGTTTGATACGATATTTCCAGATGTTCTTTAGAAAGAAAATTTAATATGTTCAAAGGTGTCATGTCTCTTTTTGCAGAAAATTAAAGAACTTTGCTGTGCGGTTTTATAATACAACTGAGAAGATAATTCTTGATTCATGTTAAAATATTCAAATTTTTTGGAGATACTGTATTTTATTCATGAAGATAACTCTTAACATGTTTTATAACAAAGAGGATAAATTATATATAAACATTGAATTTAGCAAGATTAAACTAGTAATAGATAATCAGGAAGGGCATGGAAAATTCTGAATGAAAACTTTGTATATATTTGGCTTGAAATAGTATGTTGAGATGACAGTCAGGATGCCTGGGGATCTTTCATAAATGCCTCAGCAGAATGTGTCACAAGCTTGTCTTTTCATTGTACAGTATTCAGTTTAATATTATTAATTGCATTGATTCATAAATAAAATTCTGCTTGATCTTTAAATAGTAAAACTAAGTAATGATAACTTAAATGAAATTCGTTTAATTTATTTTCTATTATTGATTACAGGCAATTGGGGCCTTTCGTGAGAGCTGTGAACGTCATGAAACCTTAGAACGTGACTATGCAAGCCTGGAGGTAGAATTTGCAAGAGTGTCTAAAATGCTAACCAACATGAAAGACACAGTAGCTAAGGTAACCTTAATCTGTTTATGAAATTATAATTATAAATTGTAGTTATGTATTTGGAGGATGATTATTTCAGTTAACCCCCACTTGATGATCCAGAAAGAGACCCTGTAAAATATTAGTTAGGCAAAAATATGTTAAAAATACATTTTTCCATACATATAATAACTTGACCGAGATATCAATATTCTGTATCTAATTACTATTACAGTATTTTTTCAGTGTAATTAAAACACTTGTAGGTACAGTGGTACCCCGAGTTTCATACATAATTTGTTGCAGAAAGCTGTTCGAGTGCCATTACCAAACGAATTAGTTCTCATTAGTCTGTTTCAGACCCCAAAAAATACACTTAAAAAAGCACTTACAATAATACACTTACATAATTGTTCGAGTTGGGAGCAGTATGAAACGTGGGGTACCACTGTAATAGGTTGGTAAACAGCAACCACCCAGGGAGGTACTACCATTCTACCAAGTGAGTGTAAAACGGAAACCTGTAATTGTTTTACATGATGGCAGGATTGCTGGTGTCTTTTTTCTGTCACATAAACATGCAAGATTTCAAGTACATCTTGCTACTTCTACTTACACTTAGGACACACCACGCATGCATGTACAAGCATACATATACATACCCCTCTGGGTTTTCTTTTATTTTCTTGTTCTTGTTTACAGTGGTACCTTGACTTACAAGGTTAATTCATTCCGTGACCGAGGTCGTAACTCAGTTTGCTCATATATCAAATCAATTTTCCTCATTGAAATGCCATTAATCTGTTCCAGTCCCCAAAAAACCACCCCAAGTTTTTTGTTATGCGTTTTTAAATAAGAAAAATGTATTTATAAATAAGAAATATTGTATAAAAACATAATAAAACATAATAAAAGAGAATTTAAAGAAATAAACTGGTTTTATAAAGTGTATTTACCTTGGTACATATCGTAGAAGTACTATGCTCGTACTACTTCGCCAAGTCGACTACATGCACACCTTGATCATGTTTTTCTGTGATTTCATGCTTTAATTCAATGGACATCATCATCATCATCTTCTCAGCACTGTCCTTTGCACTTACTTTCCAAGGACCAATGGTTAGAAAAAAGAAATTTGGCAAAATAACTGCACAAAACGCAAGCACAACACAAGAGATATGCTTCCACAGCAAGGTAACAATGTGCACTGAATGAGTGAGACACAGGATGCTGGGTGGATGTTGTGGCGTTCACTGTGCCAACTAGTGGCGGCGTATCTAAAGCTCGCTCATAACTTGCATTTTGGCTCGCAACTCAAAGCAAAAAATCAACCAAGCGATGGCTCGTAAATTGGGGCACTCATAAGTCAAGGTACTGCTGTATTTCCTCTTTTCTCCATGGGAAAGTGGAACAGAATTGTTCCTCCATAAGCCATGTATATTGTAGGAAGTGACTAAAATGCTGGGAGCAAGGGGCTAGTAATTCTTTCTCCTTCTCCTGTATACATGTATATTACTAAATTTAAAAAAAAAAGAAACTTTCATTTTTTATAGGGGGGCCATCCTGCCTTGGTGGGATATGACCATTAAGTGAAAGAAGAAGAATTAAAAAAATTGTACTCACCAGAGATGGATCCACTGTTTAGTAGAGATATAGTGGTGGTTATTGAAGCCAGTGTTGGCACATATTGATGATCTTTTAATGCTCATGTTAGCTAAGGTAAAAGATACTGATTACTTTAGATGAGCTTGGACAATCATCAGAACACATAGTCTGGCTCATTTCACATGTTTTGATGTTCTGCAGGTAAGATATTTAAAGAAAAATTAGTGTGTAAGAAAATGTACATATAAAATGTAGACAAAGTTAACTTAATTAGTATTAAATTTCTAGGATTTTTACTATTGGATATTTGTTTTGATTTTGATAAATAGTACATAGGTTTTTATTCATATACAGCTTGAAAGTGTACAGAGCGAGAAACTACAAATGCAAACTGAAGTGGAACGACTCAACCGATCTATGGATAGCCTCAAGTCATTGTCAGCGCGTATCATTGACTTGGAGTCTGAGAAGGAGGCACAACATCAGCAGATTAATCTCTTACAAAAGCAGTTGGCTACTTTGAAAGCTGAGAGAAGTCGAGCTGAACAGTTGGAACTTGATCTTCTGACTGCTGGCAATGAAGTACAAAAGAAAAAAAGATCACTAGATACTATTCAGAAGAAACTTGCAGAAACAGAGAAGGAAAGAAGTGAGCTAGAGAATGAAAATTCCAAGGTATAGTGGCATGAAAAATTGTACATCAATGTATGGTAATAAAATACAAGTGCCTAAAATGTTCAAAAATAATGAAAAACTGTGTAACTCAACTAGAACTTCTGAACAGAGAATTAATTTGGAGTGTCAAAGAGAGTTTTCAGGCAGGAAAAATGGGTGATAATTCGTAAAACTTTTTCTTTAAAACATTTGACTGAATTTTTCTGGCACTCCTCTTTAGTTCTCTGCTTTGTGATGGATACTTCTTCACAGTATAAACCATAAACATGTATGGAGAAAGACAAGCAACATTATTCCTTTGTTTCCCGACTTAAAACTCCTTCTGTGTATAGTAATAAATATTTGTAAGATGAGAAGTATATTAATCTATAATGTTCAGTTTTATTTTTAGGGATTTGTATAAATGTGGTTACTGTATTACAGTTAGTCTTTCTGTTGTGTATAAAAATTGATAAGTAAATTTATCAACAGCTCCAGAGAACAGTCGAAACACTCAAGCTATCTACCAAGAAGCTCAATGAACTGGAGAGAGATTTGACGGAAATGGAGGGCACCAATGATCGTCTAGATCGTGAAAATAAATCCCTTCAAAAAGAGGTAAGCAGTTAATGACTGAAACATTTGGATGCCCAAGTTAATATTTTGCGATTATGTCATGCTTACCATATGAACACTTCCAGGGGGCATCTTCTCTGTGGTGTGGTCCCAGACCATACCTGAAGATTTGTTTTTAACAAAAACAGATACAGTGGACCCTCGGGTAATGTCTTTACTCCATTCCAGAGAGCTAGCCTTTAGCTGAATTAATTTTCCCCATAAGAAATAATGGAAATCCAATTAATCCGTTTCAGACAGCCAAAAGTATTAACAAAAAATATTTTTTTTTAAAGATTAAATATAAATATGCATACAGAAAACAATGACAAATAAATATAATACAGTAATAAAATGGATAAATGAACATTTAACATCACACTTACCTTTATTGACTTGACTTGTTGGTGTATGGTAGACATGTAGGAGGCTAGAGGAAGGCAAGTTTATTATGCTTCAATATGACACTATTATCATCTCTATGGCTTATTTATCTATCACAATTCATCTAATATGACATTATAAACAATGTTAATAACATAGAAACATGATATATACTCTAGAATGAATAAAATATATAATAATGTATGAGAGGAGCAAATAGTGTAAGTGTTGTTGATGGGGTTTATAAGGGCCACTGAGTGAAGCAGTGGTGGTGGAGGTGGAGGCACCAGCAGAACCCACCACCACTGTCACACTTAAACAATGTATATAATTTATAAATAAGAAATATTTACATTTTAATTTATAAGTAAGTTTATTTAGGTATACACAAATACAGTTACGTACATAGATTATCATACATAGCAGCATATGTGTAAAGTACCTTGGATAACCCAAAAACATCAGACTTACGTATTTCCATTGGGGTCCTTTTATATTTAATTTTATACTTACACTCTTATATTTACACTTACCTTGGAGGAGATGTTAGTTTAATTAGTTAGTTTGATGGAGGAGATGCTGGCAGAGGTTTAGGGTAGTTGAAGATACGTAGTAGGGTGGCGTATGTTCAGTGGCCCGATGCACTTTCGACAACATTGGAGAGTTACTTTCGTCTCTTTTTCTATCACTCACTCGCTTAACTTACTTGCTACACTGTTAATTCTACACTTTATCGCTGGCTGGCACTATAGCCTTTATTGATACCTGCTGCTTTAGTATCGTACATATCGTAGAATCACTGAATCACTGCAGAAGGCACATTCACCCCTCTCTCTTCCTCCTCCACTTTGGTACTTTGCTACGAGTTTTTTCTTGAATTTTATTGTGTTTCTTTCCTCCTTTATCACAGGGCTGGCACTAGAAACTTTATTTGGGCCCATGGTGGCTTATTTAGCAGTTACAAGCACTAAAAACAATGGAATAATACAAAATATATCGCATGTACGTGTGGAATCGTCCTCACTGGCTTTGTAAACAATGGCACATTGGCTGTACAAAGAGTATGGAATGGCCGGCCCCGCTCAGGCCATGTGGACACGTTCGGGATGAAAGCCCTTAGCCAAGTTATTTGGTGTTAGCTGAACCAATATTTTTACGCCAAAGAGAACCATTAGCTGATTTTGGCGCTAGTCGATGATGCCTTTACCCGAGGGTCCACTGTATGTAGTTGTGCAAAGTTTTGATATGCCATTTTTATATTTTAAAAACTAATGGAACACCTAAACTAACTTTGCTTAAATTTACATGATATAAAATAGTATAATTTCCTTAACAAATAAAAAATTTGCTTACTGTAATTACATTTCACCTTTTTCTGGGGGGAGGGAAGTAAATCTTAGGTGATCTTTTCTCCATAAAAGTACAATAGGAGGAATCCCAATAAGAGGCAGTAGTAGTCAGGGGCAGATGAGGGGGGAAAGGGGTCCTTTCCCTTGCTCTCTACTCTATGCTTACTCATTTGATCACTCTCTTGTTTACCCACACCCTCTCTTGATTTCTGACCCTGTTCTTCTCACTTGAGTTGATGGTTAAGAGTAAAGTGATAACTTAGATTGACAGAATTCCCTGTATTAAGATCGCAAGATGTTGCTGTGTCAGACAGGAATGTAGATGAATGGTTCAGGGAACCAACACTTCTTTACACATATGCTGTATTCTTTTCAAGATTGATGGACTGATCACCTCGACTCAAGGCTGAGGGACTGATTACCTCAAACTCCTCTTGTTCTTCACCATTCTCCTTTGTATGGACTGATGAAGCCACTGTGTGGTGAAAGGTTTCCTCATTAAAGATACCCAAATTTTACACATGTATCTAATTCATCAACATGTCAGTTCTCTCAACCATTCATCTACATTCCTGTCTGACACAGCAACATCTTGGGATCTTAATACAGGGAATTCTTCAACCTGCCTAACCCTTGGGCATGACCTACTTCCACATTCATCAAATGTGATACCACCTACAACTGCTGCACCTCTCCTGCCTACAGTATATAAGCCACTTCTTTGCACATATGCTATATTCTTTTCAAGATTGATGGACTGATCACATCGACTCGAGGCTGAGGGACTGATTACCTCAAACTCCTCGTATTCTTCACCATTCTCCTTTGTATGGACTGATGAAGCCACTGTGTGGCGAAACGTTTCCTCATTAAAGATATCCAAATGTTGCTTATGTTTCTAATTTATCAGAGCTGGATATGAAGTTGGTATTCACTTACCATTGATGAAAGCAGGAACAGGGGGGGGGGGGGTTTACTGTATAAAGATATATATAACCCTTGAGGCAAGAATGTAAAAATTTGGTATTTATTTTTCAAGTTTAGTGTATAAGTTTCAAGTTAGTTAAGAAATGAATGAGGTTATAGATAAATGTATAATATTTTTAAAAAGTGGGTGACTAAATAAACCTTGTTTTCATTAGAGTTACTTTCCTGAAAAATTTTATGCATGTAGAATTAGTACATAAAAATATGAGGTGCTATCAAAAAGTTCCTAGATTGCGGCAAAAAAAAAAAAAAAAAAAATACATCACACAGTTGTTGTCTCCCTTGAGTTACTCTCCTTGGAAGGCTATACACTGATCCCAGCACCTCTGATACTTCTTGAAACATTTCTGGAACTCTTCTTTCCTAACGGCATCTAGCGTGGCCTGTGATTCTGTTTGAATCTCCATGTCATTAAAACTGCATCTTGAGTTACATTTTTATTTTTGGGAACAGAAATGTGACAGGGGGCAAGATCTGGGAAATAGGGAGGGTGGAGAAAGACTGCCATATTTTTAGCCAGAAAATGATGGTCTTTCTGGTCTTGAGTCAGCAAGCGGAACATTGATTTCACAGCCATTCACCTCTTGTTCAAATTTTCAGAAATTCCCACAGCATATGCCATGTCCTGGATACTCTAACAAAAATCTTCATGAATATCCTTCCTTACTTTTTTAATGTTGGCATCTTATTTTTAAGAACATAAAAACATAAGAAAGAAGGAACACTGCAACAGGCCTACTGACCCATGCGGAGCAGGTCCATGGGACCTCCCCGGATTAACCCAATGACCCACCCAGTCTGGTCACCTCCACTCAAGGATGGAGCACGGCACCAGACCCAGCAGCACAAGCTAATCAGGTCCAACTCACCCACCCACACCCACTCATGTATTTATCTAACCTATTTTTAAAACTACACAACGTTTTAGCCTGAATAACTGTACTCGGGAGTTTGTTCCACTCATCCACGGCTCTATTACCAAACCAGTGTTTTCCTATATCCTTCCTGAATTTGAATTTTTCCAACTTGAAACTATTGCTGCAAGTACTATCTTGGCTGAAAATTTTCAGCACGCTATTTACATCCCCTTTATTTATTCCTGTTTTCCATTTATACACCTTGATCATATCCCCCCTAATTCTACGCTTTTCGAGAGAGTGCAGATTCAGGGCCCTCAGTCTATCGTCATACGGAAGATTTCTGATACATGGGATCATCTTTATCATCCTCCTCTGTACGTTTTCCAGAGCATTTATATCCATTCTGTAATACGGTGACCAGAACTGAGCAGCATAGTCTAAATGAGGCCTAACCAAGGATATATAGAGTGGAAGAACAACCTGAGGACTTCTATTATTTATACTTCTAGATATGAAGCCAAGAATTCTGTTAGCTTTATTGCGAACATTTATGCACTGTTGTCTTGGTTTTAGATTACTGCTGACCAGAACTCCTAAATCCATTTTGCAATCAGTAGTATTAAGATCTACATTATTTAGTTTATATGTGGCATGGTTATTTAACTGTCCAACATTTAGAACTTTGCATTTGTTAATATTAAATTGCATCTGCCACTTCTCTGACCATTGCATCAGTCTATTCAAATCATCCTGGAGTGCTCTAGTGTCCTCATTAGAATGAGTTGGATGGCCTATCTTGGTATCATCAGCAAATTTGCATATGTCGCTATTTATTCCCTCATCTCTGTCATTTATGTAAATTGTGAACAACAAAGGGCCCAACACCGACCCCTGAGGAACACTGCTTGTGACGTGCCCCCATTCTGATTTCTCCCCATTTATGCAAACACTCTTCTGCCTATTTGTCAGCTATACCTCTACCCAGGAAAAAATTTCTCCTCCTATTCCACGTGCCTTAAGTTTCCTCAATAGCCTCTGGTGTGGAACTCTATCGAAAGCTTACTGAAATCCATATACACAGTATCATATTCATTACCATGATCTACCTCCTCAAACACCTTAGTGAAAAAAGTTAGTAAATTTGTAAGACAGGAACACCCCTTTGTAAAACCATGTTGAGATTCATTAATCAATCTGTGCCTATCAAGATGGCTACGAATTGCTTCGGCAATTATTGATCCCATAAATTTTCCCACTATGGAGGTAAGGCTTATTGGTCTATAGTTCGAAGCCAAGGACCTGTCACCTGCCTTGTAAATAATTCAAATTCAAACTTTATTCTCTATAAGTATTACAATGCTGAGTTTACAGAATTTGGTTATTGTGTGGTTTACATGTAGTAAAATAATAATTACAGAGTGTA